CCACTGTGGGGAACTGCTATTTCTAAGTTATAGCCATGGAGGGGGAGGTGGGAGGGCAGTGGGGTGGCGGGGGGGCTCCAATGGTCTGGGTGCCATGGGAAAGGGGGCAGCTCAGGGGGGTGACCACTGGAGCAGCAGGGGCCACAAAACCCAGGAGTCCCTGGACAAAGGGGCCCCTGTGTGCCCCAGATGGGGGCTGGGGCTCTTAGGGCTTTTCCAATAACGTTGGTGCATTCCCAATAAAGGCTTTTCTAATCCCGCCTCACCGTGTCGTTCATGTTGCTGCCTCCTGATGCACACACAGACAGACGTGCAGCCAAGCAGGACTAGGGCATTGTGCAAGGCCCTACAGCCAGCACTGCCAGGGCTGGAGCACCTCGGAGCAACCTCTTACGTGCTAAAGCTGGAATAGGAGCCAGGAGTCCTGTCATCCAGCTCTCGTACCACCCTCCAACCCCCCATCCTGGCAGAGATGGGACCCAGGCATCTTGGTTCCCAGGCCCAGACCTGTTCTAGGCCACCAGAAGCTACTCCCTTCCCAGAGCTGGGCTAGAACAAGGGTCCTGGCTCACCTCCCCATCCCCCACCCCTGCTTTAACCCAGTCTTGGGTTTTAGCCCAGCTCTGGGTGGAGAGTGGGAACCGATGGTTCAAGTGGGGGCTGGGAGGCAGGACACCTGGGTGCTCTCCCTGCTCCAGGAGGGGAGTGGAGTCTGGTAGTTACGGTGGTAAGGGGGGCTGGAAACCAGGACTCCAGGAGTTTAGGAGCAGTCGCGATTTGTTGGCGCTTTGGGCAAAAGTTCATTTACATAGAAATTAAAAATTAAATTAGTGCGGAAATCTGTAATTCAGACAGAAAATGTAATTAAAGCAGGACCCGGAGCCGCACCGGGGAGAGCACTAGGGACACATTTAGCTCTGCACCCCCTGCCACACACACACAGGCACATATACACACACAGCCCTGTTCTGGAAACACACGTGGACACGCAACCACCCATGATACACACATGCTGCTCCTCAGAGAGTGTGCACACATGCATAACTAACACCTGCAAAGGACATGCACACAAATGGTATAGTCAGAAACAAGATAAAGTCCACACCCACAGAAGCACGCAGTTTTACATACTGTGACACCTTTCCAGAAGAGCACAGCTCTGCCATCAGCCTAGAAACACACACCTGCTGTTAACGCTTGCACAACAGCATGTAAAAAAAAATCACAGCTTCACATTTGTACACACTTGTAGGCATGGCTATAGTAAAGCCACACAATGACAGAAGCCTATACAGATATCACACCAGCACCTGACAACCACATTGCAGCACCAGACAGCAACACTCACACAACAGCACAACTACATAGATGCAACACCTGACCACTAACACACACACATACACACACAGAGTTGCACAGCAGCACCAACTTCACCCCTGCACAGAAGCACAACCCCATGCCCAGAGTCCATGTGCCACCTAAACCTACAACTGCATCACAACCCCACAGGCCAGCCAAAACCTGTAATACATCTTCCCAGAATACAAGTTTGTGGAGGGCTGTACCTACACAAATGGAGATATGTCCTGAGCTTACCCTCCAAGTGCACAGCCACCCAAACAACCCCTTCCCACCCCCACCTACAGTCAGACCCCTGACAACACCCAGAAGAACACAGATGCACACCCAGACAGTCATCCAGTGGTGCCTGCAGATGCAGAAGCTTGCTCACACAGCTGCTTTGCATCCCTGCCGCTCTACAGCCACACAGAGGACAGCCAGAGACCGCCCCCTCACCCCCTGCCCCGTAACCTGCTGGGAGGGAACCAGTAGGGCCACTGCCCCCGCAGCAGGCAGGTGCCTAGGGCATGCCTCAAGAGGGTGCTGGTTACCTCTGCAATTCAGCACACACAGTGAGAGGGAAGGGGACTGCCAGTGCCCCCCACCCCTTCCGCCCCCGACTCCCAACCCACAGCCCCCTGCCAGCCGGGGCCTGGCTGTTCTTTAATCATATGCTCATAAGTGCCAAGCCACAACTCTGGCTGATTTGGACTGGGTGACTCGGCAGCTGCAAACTGGCAGCAGCAGGGCTGGCAGAGGAGGGGAGCTCCAGCTGCATGTTAGGCTGGCAGGGGGCTGCAGGCAGGGAGTGAAGGGCAGCAGCAGAGTGCGGGTAGGGGTGCTGCGCTCCAGCTCCGGCTCCGGCTCCGACTCCAGCTCCTCACTTGCCAGTTCTGTTGTCTCCATGTCCTTATCTGCAGCATCACTTGCCCCTGAACTCCACAGGTGCTGAGCAAACACAAGGGGACTGGGGAGTGGGGGAAGGGACGGAGCCTAGCCTCACCCCAGAGCCTGGGCCAGGGCAGACCCCTCCAGCAGAGAGAAATGGGGATTCACATGTTCCCACACATGCATGGACATAGACACACATGTACACATACATGGGCACATTCGCAGAGCACAGGCCCCCATCTTCTCCAGCAGGGGGCAGTAGGGACACACATACAGGGGCAGGCGCATGCATCACACACAGGTGCACACAGACAGTGAGCATAGGCCCTGTCCCCTCCAGCAAGGGGGTGGTGGGAGTACACACGCACACACACACACACACAGGCTGTGAGCACCATGTGGCTGTTGGTAAACGCAAGCTGTTCTCCAGGCGGCAGTGTGGGCCAGACCATATGGCATGGCTCTGCCAGCTCCAGCCTGACGCCCACACCGCAACGGGTGTGTAAATAGCACACTGACCGTTCTGGGCACTGGCACCAGCTTTCTCCCTGCCCCCCAGCCCCTCAGGCCTGGCCCCATCAGCTGGAGGAAGCAATCCTACCCCAGCTGCCTTGGGGGTAATGCTGAGTCTGAGGCATCACACAGCAGACAGGACCCAGGGTCCTCAGAGTGCAGCTGGGGGGGGGGCAGAAGGGGCTCCCCTGAGGTGGAGGGTGGCTGCCTTCTTGCCCCCATCTGTGCAGCCCCTTTCTCACAGCCTGCCACCAGCTCACTCTGCCCTCTGGGACATTCACCCAGGCCCCACCACCGCACGCTGGAGCACAGGATGGAGCAGGGCAGGAACGGCAATGAGGGATAGAACCCAGGCGTCCTGGAGCCCAGTCCCCATGTTCTAACCAGGCCCCCAATTACCCTCTCAGAGCTGGGATAGTGCTTGGGCATCCTGGCTACCAGCCCCCCTGGCTCTAACCAGGCCTCACGGCCCTCCCAGAGCTGGGATAGAACCCAGGCATCCTGGCTCCCAGCCCTGCTTGATCTGGCCAACTAGGTCGCTGATGTCTTCATTACAACACCTTTCTGGGCGCGGCACCCGGCCCCCCACCATGTCCGTCTGGGCAGCGGCACGAGCCAGGCTCCGCTGGGATGTAGCAAAGCCTTCTCGCCCAGGCAGCTCCTTTCATTCACCCTCCTCAAAGTCAGTCCCAGGGCTGGGATCCAGCCACTGCTGGGAGGTAGGCCAGAAGCAGCTAGGGCAGCAGTTCTCAAACTGTGGGTTGCCACCCCAAATGGGGTCACAACATCAGCAGATTTGGGGGGGGTTGGGAGTGAGGGGCCATGCTAAGGAAATGGGATTATGCTGAGGAAAAGTTTGGGAAGCACTGAGCTAGGGGCTCTTCCTGTCCCTCAACCCCCAACTACTACTCCTGCCTCAAGGGCCTCCACAGCACCCCTTGCTGGGGCTGCAGCAGGCAGGATGTGATGCCCAGTACAATACCACCCCCCTGCACGGCCACCCCCCACCTTCTCCCCACTCAAACCTAATAGAAATCACAGGATGTGAAGCCTTTAATCCCATTTCACAGGGATTGTCAACCCTGCCAAATGCTCCCCGCCCCCAGAGTCAAGGAGAGATGCCTTGGCACCAAGAGAGGAAGGCTACTCCCTGCCCCTGCCAGTGCCCCTGCCAGTGCCATAGCTTCAGGCCTATTTGGAAACAGCATGTGATTGTCCAGGTCCATGTGTGACTGTCCAGCTGCTTTCCCCTGAGAGGTGCGCGCGCGCATGCATGTGCATGTGCATGTGCATGTGTGTGTATATGTGTGTGCGTGTGCGTGCACGCACACACACACACTTCACCATAGCACATGTGCATCTATGGCAGTGTGTCAGTCAGTGCAGGTGTCAGTCAGTGCAGGGGTATGCACGTATCCATGCCAGCACACATGCACGTGCCCCTCAGCACATGTTGGGGGGAGGGGGTGTCAGG